CCTCAGTTCACCTGACTCTGCTCCTACATCTAACAATAAAGAACGGGGTGGAGCTGGCTCATAGGGAGCTGGCTCCTTACTATATGTTGTGACTCTGTGACCCAGGAGCCCAGGGGTGTTGGGATCACCCTAACCCTGCAAACCTGAATAACATAATTCCCCGAGACCTTGATGCCCTGTGAGAACCTTCCCACCGGGGTCACCTTAGCATCAGGAGCTGCATGTGCACAGTCCTTGTCTGCAATCCCCCTGGCCCTACCTTGGACTTATCCCTGCCTCCTATCTGAGCTCTGATACTGAGCTCCTTTTGTCCCCAGGTGGCATTGACCCCATCCTCCGGGGCCTCATGGCCACCCCTGCCAAGCTGAATCGCCAGAACCAAATCGTGGTGGATGAGATCCGGGAGCGGTTGTTTGAGCAGGTCATGAGGATTGGGCTGGACCTGCCCGCTCTAAACATGCAACGCAGCCGGGACCACGGCCTCCCAGGTGAGGGGCTGCAGGATCCCTCTTGTCCCCAGCTGCCCAAAACTTCCCCTAGACGCAGCACCTTGCTCCTAGGAATCGGTCTGAGATCAGGCACCTACCTCTCCCTGGGCCCACCTGGTCCATTTCAGCAATTCCTGGCCTCCTCTGCATTGCTGTGACCCTTAAACTTGAAGCATCATAATAATAGCAACGAGCCCCCTAACCTCCATAGTCTGAACATCGGCCTCCATCATCATTTCATTTTGCTTCATTTTACATGAACTCTGAGAGGAAGAGAGTATTATCATGTGCATTTTACTGATGAGAAAACAGGCTTGCAGGGATTTGAAACCTGCCGAGGTTCTCCAACCATCAGTGATGGAGCTGGAATTCGAACCCAAATCGGCATGACCTCAAAGCCTGGGCCTGTGTAATAGGACAGCCAATGTGGCTGAGCCTTCTAGACACACTTTGTCCCTCACAGGTCTGAGATCTCCAGAGGGGGACAATGAGATGTCCCTATATTTGGACCTGATAGAGCTATGGCAATTTAGGATTTGCCTTAGGGTGGGAGGGCAAGGGAAAGACAGAGAGGGTCCTGGAGCGCCTTAGCTGTCCNGAGCTATGGCAATTTAGGATTTGCCTTAGGGTGGGAGGGCAAGGGAAAGATAGAGAGGGTCCTGGAGCGCCTTGGCTTGAGCCAAGAGTTCAGGGTTCCCTAGGGGAAGCCCTTCTGTGTCCTCCCGTCTGTCTGTGACTCTGTACATGGCCTCGGTGTCTTGGGAAGGAGCATTTTCTAAGATGCACCCACAGCCACCTCTCCCCTCCCCCCATGCAGGGTACAATGCCTGGAGGCGCTTCTGTGGGCTGACCCAGCCCCAAACAGTGGGCGAGCTGGGCACAGTGCTGAAGAACATCAACCTGGCGAGGAAGCTGATGCAGCAGTATGGTACCCCCAACAACATCGACATCTGGATGGGCGGGGTGTCCGAGCCCCTGAATACCAATGGCCGTGTGGGCCCTCTCCTCGCCTGCATCATCGGGACCCAGTTCAGGCAGCTCCGTGACGGCGATCGGTGAGGAGGCAGGCGGGGTGGTCGAGGCATGCTGTGTGGCCCTGGGCCTGTCCCGAATCTCTCGGGGTCCCAACTTTTTCTGGTGAAATGAAGGGCTGGAAGGAATCTGTGACTTCCCAGTGTGTTCCAGGGAGCCTCAAGGTCATTCCTCATGTGCTCTGAACCTGTTGGGGGTGCAGCAGGGAGGGACCTGGACCTCTGGTTGTGAAGGAGGGAAGAAATAGAAAATGTTTCAGGTTCAACCACAGTGCTGTCTGTCACTATTGAACAGTCCCATCCTTGCTTCTGCTAGTGTCATTTCATCATGGTTCTGACGTCTGTCATACCTAGTTGTCACCTAGCCTGTATTGTGCCTTTGGGAAGATTAGAAAGGTGTCCCTCTCTGGTGGACAGATTATAAACACCCCCAAGATTCGCTCCACCCCCATGGGTGTAGCTCAGACCAGGGCACAGGCTTTGTAAGCCAGTGCGGGAGCAGCTCCCTGTCCAGCATCAGTAGTGCCCAGAGGCCACGGGGGTGAGGGCATCTGGGAGGCTGGGCTGTGCTCTGTGCAGAGTGGGGCTTCACTTGTTTGAAAACCCCTGGCTGCCCGAGGGCCTGGAGCTCTCCTGTGCTGGAGAGCGGTGTCTGCTGTGGTTCCCCTGGCACCCAGGGAATGGCTCACGCCAGGTGATGCCCTCCCAGCCCAGGAGGGCCTCAGGTGCGATGTCCGTGGGTGTTCCCGTGCAGGTTTTGGTGGCAGAGCAAGGGCGTATTCAGCATGCAGCAGCAACAGGCCTTGGCCAGGATTTCCTTGCCTCGCATCATCTGCGACAACACGGGCATCACCACTGTGTCCAAGAACAACATCTTCATGTCCAACACATTCCCTCGGGACTTTGTCAACTGCAGTACACTCCCCGCGTTGGACCTGTCTGCGTGGAGGGAAAGAGACTAGAGGCTGGGTAAGGGGGTGCAGAAGCGAGGTGAAGGCGGGGTCCAGGTGAAGGCTGGGCTGGCAGTCGCAACCACAGCTCTCCCGTCCCTAGGTGAGCCCATCCCTGTTCTGGATGTCGGCCGAGAAAATGAATGACTAGACATTCCTTAATATGTGTGCGCGCACGTGTGCAATGTATATAAATTGCGTTACATGTGTGTATTACCTGCGAACACGGGTAGCGTGCTGTGTGCTCTGTAGGTGTCATTTATGTGAGCGTGTGTTGGCCGTTTCTGTGAGTATTGAGTGTATGGAAGGCAGCGGAGCCCAGCGGTGAGGAGCACAAGCTCAGGAGCCAGACTGCTTGGGTTCAAGTCCCTGCTCTGCCGCTTACCAGCTGTGTGACCTTGAACACTTCACTCGGCCTTGCTCGGCCTGTTTCCTTCTTGGTAAATAAGAAGGAACAGCTGCTTTTACAGGGGTCATTGCTCCTCACAGGGCTCGTTTGCATCCTCTAGTTCCTTGATTACTGAGCATTTACTGTCTACCAGGCACTGACTGTGCGAGGCATGGGAAACAGAGAGGCAGACACCGTTTCTCCCCTCGCAGAGCTTTCAGCTCAGCAGCGCTGTGGTTAGCGGAGGTGAAACAGCGACCCCTGACCCCTGGAGGAGCGGCCATTAGCAGCTGGGCTGTGTGTGGTGGCTGAGTTACGGGCCTGGGGGCCAGGCTCAGTCCATGGCTCCCATTTTCCTTCCTTACCCTGTTCTTTTATTTACAGGAGCTGCCTGGAGAGGAACTGGGGCACAGTGGCTCTTTTGTACCGTTTGTTTATACCTGACATTTGTGATAATAAAGTAGCGCTGATGGAGGTCTTTACTCTGTATCTGCAGTGGGGCAGGTCTCAACACAAGGCTCGCTCTGGGCTCTGAACTTGAACCAGTGTGGTCTGTGCCTCAGGGCCCTGTGTTTTCTGAACTGGGGGTGAGGGTATCCAGGAGTCTTCCTTTGGCTGATCCGTACTTGGGAAGCAGTCAGTTCTTAGAAGCCTAGGGCGTGGGCCAAATCCAGTAGGCCCTCATCACCTTCCACGCATACCACCTGGAGAACAGGACTTGCGGCAACCAAGTCCTTATGGTCATTCATTGCTCCAGTAAATATCCGCTATATGCTCACTCTGTGTCAGGCATGTGTCAGGTGCTGGGAAATGGGACAAAATGCTGGCCTGCAAGAGGTCAAGGGCAGAGGTGTGATGGGAAGGTACCTCTGGACCCTGCACCTCTGCAGCCTGGCCCAGTGGTTCAGGGGCCGTCACACAGTAGACTCCTCAGTCCTGGCTCTGTGGCCAGAGCTGAGACAAGGGAAGGAGGGCATTTCCCTATTGCCTGAGCATGACCCCTATAATCCGAAAGATGGATTCCTTCTTTCCACATTTAGGGAGGGGCACCCGCAGCTGGGAACCTGAAGTTGTGTAGGATGCTAGAGCTAATGTACCCATAGGAGCCCCAGGCCACATTAGGAACTCACCAGAGCAGGATAAATACTATTTATCTTCAGTTCACTGATGATGAACATGGTAGTCAGAGTTGTGAAGAGGCTTATTCGAGGCCTTTAAGGAGTGGGTACCAGAGCCAGGGCCGCAGCCTAGGTCTCTGGCTCCTGGGCTCTTACCACAAGATGGTTAAGTACCTCCCACCCCCACCCCCAGCAGTCAGGAGACCTGGAGGCCCTGACTGGGCTGACCTTACCCAGAGGGTCATTTAAAAAGAATACATGAATATGATTGGGTAGCAGCACAAGGATATTCTGGAGATGCACCTGTAGAGGCCTCCCAGGCTCCAAGGACTACCCTAGAAGAAGAGGGTATGTCCCAGAAGGGCCTCTGGAAGGGAAATTAGCTCTAGATGCAGGGGAATCCAGGCTTGGCTTTCCTCTCTGTTTGATCCCTTGGCATTACCCTAGGCCCTCTCTCTTGCCTTTCTATGGCCATTGCTGCCTTTCCTGGGAGTCCCTTGCCTCCTCCTTTTCTTGGAGAGCTCTCTGAAATTCCACCAAATCATGCCTTCTTACCCCACAGCCCATGTACACATCGTAGTGGTAAAACTGTAAACATCTAGTTACTTAATTAGCAGTGATTCCAACGCCTGCCTTCCAGAAAGGAACGGTGTCATTGACAGCATCTCTAGTCAGTGATCAGGTGTTTATTGAGTGCTTACTGCATGCCAAGCACCTTGTGGGTGGCAAGGGAGACCCTCAGAACCAGGTCAAGTCCCTGGGTCAAGGAACTTATGATCTAGTTGAGAAGGAGGAAAGATAAGGGTGCAGAGGCCACAGCCTCAGCCAAGACTTGTTCCAGGGCTAAGGTGGGTGACAGCTGGCAAGCTAGACTGGAAGGGCATCTCAGCAGGTCTGCGTCATGACAGATGAGGATTTCCCCAGGCAGAGGGAATGGGAGCAGTGGAAGAGCTGGAATGGCCAAGGCTCTGGCCTTGGGCTTGCGTGGGGTATGCATCTGGCAAGTGTAGCGAGACCTGGCTGGAAAGGGCTGGGACAGGATGTGGAGGACTCAGGGACTGGTCATTGAGCTTGCTTGAAATGGCATCATGGACCAATGGGCGCTTTCCTGCACAGTGTGGGAGGCCCCTAATTCCCCACTGAGGCCCAGGGCGAGAGGTCCAGCTTCTCAATGCTTGAGCAATCCACAAAGTCTTGGGGGTAGCTGTTGGCCTGGAATGGGTTCAGTGGGACCTTGGTGATGTGGGTGTTGTCACAGACAAGGCGTGAGAAGGATACTTTCTTTAGAGAGTCCCGCTGCTTCTCAGTGAAGACCCCAGGGTTCTCCCACCAGAACCTGCAGACACAGAAGCACAGTCTGTCTATACAGCCCAGCCATTGTCCCTTCCCCACCTGCCAAAGAGGGAGGAAGGAGGTCATGGGGAACATGCTAAAGTCTGCATTAGTCCTCATGCAGGAGGTGGGGACACACACCTTGGGGAAGGGTCAGCCCGCCCCTGCCCTCCCACTGAGGTCTAACTTGCCTGTCTCCATCTCGAATCTTCTGGAACTGCTTCCCCAGGAGACAGGCCAGGAGAGGCCCCACCCGGCCCCTTTCTATCAGTGGCTCAGCAGTGGCCCCAATCCAGATGTCAATGTTGTCAGGGGTCCCGTAAAGATCCAGAAACTTCTTAGCCAGCATCTTGTTTTTTAGCACAGCGCCCAGCTCTTCCAGTGTCCGGGGCTGCAAGAGGTCGCAGAAGCCTCTCCAGGAGTTATACCCTAGGATGGAGAGGCTGAAGCTGTCTCATTCTGGGGACTACTTGCCCAAAGCCCCCCTTGGGGACATACCCACTCCAGCTCCATCAGCCCCAGAAAGTCTAAACTCATAGCTTTCGGGATGCGATTCCATTGTTTTCTACCTGTGGTACTTCATTCTCAGGTTATGTGGGTCCAGGCACTATTCTAAGCACATATNTTTCGGGATGCGATTCCATTGTTTTCTACCTGTGGTACTTCATTCTCAGGAGGGCTAGCAGGTTATGTGGGTCCAGGGGAAACTGAAGAACAGCGATGTTAAGCAACTTGCCTAAGGTCACATAACTAGAAATGGCACAGGTGGAATTTGAAGCCAGGTTGCCTAGCTCTTAATCATAATATTAAATTGCCTTTCCTGGGTATGAAAGAAAGGCCCCATGGTCATCGGTTTCTCTCTATACCCCTCTTCTTAATTTTTTCCTGGGCTTTCAGACTGGTTGTACAAGTCAGTTGGTGACCTCTTTTTCATTTGAGGAGCTCCAAGATGGTACCAGATCTGTTCTCTTGCCTCTGCATTAGGGAGAATGGAAGATTCCATTTCACAGATGAACAAATAATCAGTTTGACAACTTGGTATCTCTGCCCTCTGTTTTAGAATTGATCAGATCCTCGGGATTATAGGAGAGAGCCCTCTGGAACCCCAGAAAGTAGCTAAAAGTTCCCCAGGCCAGGCCAGGCCAGCCCCAGCCCCACTCACCAGGCATCCCGTGGTCCCGGCCGCGCTGTATGTTGATGGCAGCCAGGTCAAAGCCGTGGATCTTCTGAGTGGGCTGGAAGAGCTTGTTGCGCAGCTCTCCCGTCATCATCTTATTCTGCTTCACCAACTTGGACTTTCTGGCCAGCAGACCGCGCACCAGGGGGTCATTTCCACCTGCAAGGAAGACCATCCTGGGGATGAGGGGAGGGTGGGGACATCTTCCACTACTGATCCCCCCCACCCCATCCCCAGGCATTTTCTCTTGGGTTAAAGTAGGGCCAAACGACCATCTCAGGCTAGAAGTGGGGATAGGAGCACAGTGCGGCCTGCAGGGTGTGCTGTTGCGCTGGTGGAAGGAAGGGCCATTCATGAGATAATGGCATGAAGATAAACTTCAGGATTTTTTAAAAATCCTCACCCGAGAATATATTTTTCATTGATTCGAGAGAGAGAGGAAGGGAGAGGGAGAGAGAGAAACATCCATGTGAGAGAGAAACCTTGATTGCCTCATACACACATCCCGACTGGGGATCGAACTCACAACCTGTGCCCTGTCAACCTGTACAGGATGACATTCTAGCCACTGAGCCACATGGGCCAGGGCAAGCTTCAGAATTTTTTCTGAGCTCTAGTTCAGAGAGTTGGCTTCTTCTCCTTCCATTTGTTCCCTTGAGGAAATGTTGCAGCATGGGAAGAGGGAGCAGAAATCTACAGAAATTGGCCCTGACTTGTTAGGTCTTAATTAAGGCCAGTTTTGACACAGCCCAGCCCAGGCTAAAGGGAAGCTGGGTCCAACCTTTGGCACTTAATGGAAGTGGAAAGCTCTAGAGGGGAGTAGAGAAGAGCAATTTACTTACTAAACCCATCAATTCTTTTTACAGGGATCAGAGAAACCAACCTGGTGCAGAGAAAGGTGGGAGGAAAAACCTGGCACCTTAGAGGCCAGGTGAGGAAAGAACAATCACTGGTATTTACTGACCACCTCCTGTGCATTGGGAACTGTTGTAGGGTGCTCTACGCATATATTTCAAATTTTTTCTATACCCTTTGAGATAGGCACTATTATTGACCACATTTTACAACTGAGGAAACTGAGGCTCAATGAAGAGAATTCCCTTGCCCAAGGTCACACAGAAAGTGCCTGGAGTCTGACTTGTAGGCCAGGTTTCCTGAGTTAAAAGCAGGCTGCAGGGTGAGGCAGCCAGGTGCCAGCACTTGCCCGAATGGATTTACCATCTTGAACCATCCTCCAGGTGTTGAAGAAGAGGGTGTGCATGGGGAGCTCAGCCTCTGGCCCCCACGGCTGGTAGTTCTCATCTAGGCGGAATATGCTGGAGGGAACCTCCATGTGGCCGAAGCGGAAGGCGAAGGTGAAGACATTAGAAATTCGGGGATCCACAGATTCGTTGTAGCCTCGGTATGGAGGGATCCACTTCTGCATCTCCACACCTAGCAAAATGGGTAGGTAGTCCCTAAAGGTGATAATCTGGAAGGAGAAACAAGTCACGAGGAAAGGGTGTGAGAAGAGTGAAACCTCTGCAGAGTGAGGCTGGAGAGGCGCTGCAGCTGCGAGGGGTAAGCTGTCAGAAATCAAGGAGAGCAAATGGGTAGCACATGTGTCTGATTCCCTTTCCCGTGACCCTGGCAGACATCACTAATCGATCGTGACAGTCTTTCTGCTGATCTCTCAGGATTTGTCTCAACACAGGCTCTACGCATCAGTCATTTGAATTTCACAGTTGAGGTGAACTCTGGCATCTTTGCCCTAAGTTTATGACCTTGAAGCCAAAGTGACAGTTCTTGCGTGTCGCTTTAACATAATCGTATCAGATCATTAAACTTTTCCCCAAAGGCCAGGGCCAGGGGGATGAAAGACCACAGAATGGTTCACAGGGCAACCAAAGGAAGTTCATTCAGCCTCCAGCTCTGAAAGAGATGCTGCACCATGGGGAGGTCAGTTTCTGGTTTTGTTTTACTGAAAGCGATGGACTAACATAAATTAAGAAAAATTTCAAAAACTAAAGAATCATGCCACTGCATAACACAATAATTATATTAATTTTTTATTCTTTCTAATACTTGTCTATATAATACATGTCTGACATAGTTGTAACCCTAGAGAATGCCATTCTGCTTTTCCACTTAACATTTGTCACATTTCCATCTAGCTCACAGCTATATAATGACGTGTGTAATATTCTATCGCACTCGTGGTCCTTCTCTGACTCTTAGGTTGTTTCCAATTTGTTCAGCAGCGTATACTCTGTGGATGGCATCCTTGGAGCAGGCGGTCTGCCCCTCGGGCTATGGGAACCAGCAGGAGACAGAACCCCCTGCCTTTGGCCACAGTGGACTGGCCCAGTTTAATGGCACTTGATCTGAAGGGACAGGTGGGGTCATATGGGTTTTCATTTTCTACCGTGTGCAAAAAAGCAGAGAAAACCCATCTGCAGAGAGAGAGAGTGAAGAAAAAAGAAGCGAAGAGAGGAGCAGAGAGGAAGGAGGGACAGAGTGAGTAACTGCTTTCATTGCAGATGCTTTCCCGTCTCTGGCTCTAACCCTTGCTGAAGCCCAACTACATTCCCTGCCCTGAGGTTCCTGGAGAAACCCTTACAGCTCCCCTCTGGCACATATGTACAGTTGAACCACTGCTGAACGTCTGAACTAGCCTGAGTGGGTTTCTTTTTCTTGCAGTCCAAAAAGCCTCGTTATGGACTGAATTGTTTCCCCCGGGAATTCACACGTTGACGCTCTAACCCCTAATGTATTTGGAGGGTGGGCCTGTAAAGAGGTGATTGAGGTTAAACGAGGTCATGAGGGTGACATTCTAAACCAATAGGGCCAGTGTCTTTTTAAGAAGAGGGAGAGGCCCTAGCTGGTTTGGCTGAGTGGTTAGAGCGTCAGCCCGAGGGCTGAAGGGTCTCGGGTTGGATGCCAGTCAAGGGCATGCACCTCGCTTGCAGGCTCAATCCCTGGCTCCTGTCTGGCGTGTGTAGGAGGCAACCAATCGATGCGTCTCTCACATTGATGTTTCTCTCTCTCTCTTCCCTTCCACTCTCTCTGAAAAGCAATTGAAAATATATCCTTGGGTGAAGGTTAAAAAAATTCAGCCACTACTCTGAATCCAGGGGTTCATTTTGGGGACAAGGAGCTGAAGAAACAAAAGGGAGGGCTTAAAAGAAAGACAGTTGGCGAGAAGATGGGGGGAATGGAAGTGTGAAAAGCAGAGGAGACAGCTGGCGTGTGGCAGTGAGCAGAGGGCAGAGGCAGGAGCGGGAGCCAGGGGGCCTGTGAGGAAGGTGCCTGGGCCTCTGTACCTGCATGAAGGCTCCCAGGATTTTCCGGGCTTCCTGGTAGAGCTTCTCTCCATCCCACTGAGGATTGAGCCTCTTCAGCTCCCCGGCCAGCCGGTTGTGCTCTCGGACAAAGAGGGTGTGGGAAGAGGACAGCAGGGTATGCTCTGAGGTTCGGGAATCTCCTGAAAGCCCAGAGGCAGGAAAGTGGATTCCCCCTGAGCAGCCCCAGAACCCAGTAACCTGCACTAAAAAATAAATGATGGTGCCTCCCCCGCCGAGGCCCTCTCCTAAGCCCCTCCTTGCAGTTAACTTCTGGGAAGTCAGGTGGAGAAAGATCAGGGTGGGGACCCACCGGGTTGAATCTCAGCTCCATACACACACACTTTTTAGCACAAGTTACTTAACAGCTCTGAGCCTCAGTCTTCAGATCTGTGAAAATGGGTATAAGGCCACCCTCACAAGATTGTAGTAAAGGCTACAGATGACATTAAGAAGTAAAACTTTGCTAATTACAATCCCAACTGCCTTCTACGATGGTGCCTACCATACAAATAAACATGGGGCTTTTTTACTATGGAGCAACTTTGAAGGTTTTAGGAATTCAAGTTTGAGAGTAGGAGCCTGGGTAGGGTTGAATTCCTCTAGTAAAGGAAGAGGAATCTGGGGATGGAGGCTATCGGGAGGGCGGACCAGGACTGGGGTCGGTTAAGTGGTAAAAGACCAGGTGTTCCACAAGGGGGCTTCTCCTTGTGTCCTCTAACCATCGGGAAAATCTGCTGAATTCACAGAGGCCTGGTATTAGTGGGTATTTTTGTGGAAAACTTCAGGAAAGCGCTCAGTTTTGTGTGTGGATTGATATGAGACATGTGGAGGCAGAATCTGAGCTCTATGAAGAGATCTGGGCCTACGGGCTGACCTCTGCCATATCAGGGCGGGCAGGGGTTTGTCCCAGGAGAGTGAGTTTTTGGCAAAGGGAAGGCCCCCAGAAGCCAAAGGCAGAGAGGACCAAGATGGCATGAGTCCCCGAATGAATAGAATTGGGGGGCTTTGGTTGCGCACAGGCTATAGGGAGTGTGGGCTTTGTGCCAACCTTATAAAATGCCTTGAAGTTATCGTAATAAAATTATTAAAATGAGCACAAAAATTCATCATCAAGGATGTTTGTTACCTAAAAACAACAAATCACAGAAAAACCTAGAAATGACTTAAATGTCTCCAAGTAAGTTGCTAAAATAAATTATGGCGCTATGTCATGTGACACCAGGCAGCCATTAACCATCATGTTGTGGAAGAAGATGGGATATGTCAAGTGCAGATGTCAGGTGCTAGAGCTGCACTGGAGGGTCCTGATTATGTAAAATGATATAGAACTATATCTACAATAGAAAAAACCTGGGAAAATAGGCATTAAAATGTTAATGATTTTCTGTGGGTGGTGGGATTTTTTTTTTTTTTAATTTGTGGTTTCTGGGTTCCCTAGATTCCC